TCCCTTTTGGTTTGAACCCCCCCCCCGGGAGCAAAAAAAAAAAAAAAAAAAAAAAAAAAAATCTTGCATTAATATCTGTGCATCAGATTAGGATGGAAGTGAACACTGAAAGGAGTGACACATGAGGAGTGTGGCGGAGAGGGGAAGTCTCTTTGTGGATCATGCCGCCTGCTGTCAGCTTTATTAACAGCTTTGTCCGCTGTGGTGCAGCCCAATTAATTCAGACAGTAAATTCTGACTTGTCACTTTTTACTGGAGCCACATCACGTCCGTCTTGTCAATACTGGCAATCCGCTCGTGCAAGGACGGTGTGGAAGTTAAAGGTTAAAAGGAAAGAAGCTGAATATTAACAAGTGAGATTGAAAAGGGGAAAAGCCACTGTCATATTTTACATTTTTCACCCAGAAGCTAATCTGGAAATTCCACTCAAGTGTGTAGAAAAAGACATATCATAATGGCATCTTACAAGTGAGTCAAGTTTAAGCCATTTACTCTGTTCTCTTTCTCCCAGTGTATATATAGATGGAATCTGTGTTAGGTTGAGGCTTTTTCTTTCCAGGGACCCCCTGTCTGACATGAAGTGAGAGAGTGCTGCGAGGAGAGCAGAGGTAGGAGTGCGGGAGAAATAAAGTTGCTATTTTTAGATGCGTGTTGCCGGAGTGCTTGCATAGGGGCTCAGAGGAGGGAACCTTTGAATACAAAACACTACTGAAGACACTAACGTTAGAGCTTAACGTTAAGAGTTTGCAGGTGAAGTCTAAGATGGTAACAAATGTAGTGGTTAGTACTGTCCAGAAATAAATCTTTTATTTTATTCAGCTGAACCAGAGCTGTGCTTCTGCAGTAAATGAGCAGTTATGAACCTGGTTTAATGACCCATCCTGTGTCTGACATGCCCCTTAGTCATATAGATCTCCACACAAAACTTTCTATATATATCCTGCTAAAGTGCCTCTGGGTCTTTTGGTGTTGTGGTCCAGTGGAGTTGGGTTACTATTGACTACAGCTGAAATAACCAACCAGATCAGCACACTTGAACACAGTGTGCTAGAACTGTGTATTAGCATTTAACCAAATGTACTTTGAATTTTGTTGTCTGCAGCAAAACACACGTATCAATCTCCGCAAATGTCCACACAGAGGATTTTGGCCATCTCTCCAAGATGTATGCCACGTCTGAGATGCCTGACCCGTGTAATCCTCTTCCTGTTGACAGAGGGCGAGCCGATTGAGGCCATTGCCAAGTTCGACTACGTTGGGCGCTCCTCTCGGGAGTTATCCTTCAAGAAGGGCGCCTCTCTGCTGCTTTACCAACGAGCGTCTGAAGACTGGTGGGAGGGACGACACAACGGGATTGACGGCCTGGTACCACACCAGTACATCGTAGTTCAGGATATGTAAGTGACTTAAATCAACTTATTTAGGATGATTGTATGAAATGTGTGCACACATACACTCACCAGAACGCCTGTTGTATTACTAGTTATGAAACTATTCCTTAAATGACCACTTGTTGCAACTAAGGTATGTGAAATATCTTTTCTGAATGGACAACAGGTCAAATATTGAAGCAGGTGGGCTGCAGGAGCAAAAGACCACACCTGGATACCTATTCTGAAAGCTGAGAACAGGAAACTGAGTCAACAGTTTGCATAGGCTCACAAAAGTAGACAATTACAAATTGGAAAAGCATTGACTGATTCTCTACATCAGTTGTTTGGCTGTAGGGTCAGAATTTGGCATAAACAACATGAAAGCGTGGACCCATCCTGCCTTGTCTCAACAATTCAGCTTGTCATTGGTGATGTAACAGTTGGGCCTGTTGTTGCTGACCATTCCCTTTTCCTTATGTTCTGTTCCCATCTTCTACTGCAGCAGGGTAATGCAACATCACAAATCATCTATATTAATAAGCTGACTGAACACCACTCTGTAAACTCGTTAGCTATTGCATGTGATTGTAGGTTAAAAAAAAAAAAAAAAACCCTGTTCATTAAATTTGCAACATAGTACCCAACAGTTATTGCATTCCAAATATCTCTTTGCAATATTAATATTACAATATGGTGATATATCTATGATATATCATGCGGTCCTGAAAAACTTTTGGTGTTTCAACACATTAGTACACGCATTTGAATTTTAAACATCTATTGTAAATATAACAATTCATAGTGTTTAGTGTATTTCTATTTCTGCTGTTGGGGCAACTGTGTATCTCATACTAGAGGGGAATGAATCTACAACTGTGGGTTAAATACCGCACTTGTCCCTGTTGACTTTGCTCCTTGAGCGATCCCGAGCCATCAGTTACTGAAGGGTCACGCGCAGAGGACCTTCAGCCTCATTTGTCTTGCCCGCTGCTCTCATAGCCGCTCAGCTGTGGAGTGTTCTCCATCTCCAGGGCTCTTTACCAGCCCTGCCGTCACTGTGTCAAACTCCCAACACTAACAAGCATACACTCTTCCTCTGCAAGTGTTGGCGCCTAATGGACCGGATTCAATGTCTCGTTAGGACTGGAACAAAATCACTGCAATCACTTAGTGGCTGGTCGACAAAATGGCCATTTAATATTTCTTCTTGCTGCCTCCTCTTCTCTTCCTTGCCCTGGTACAATCCCGTCCACATGAATCTTATCAATAATTCACAAGCAGGGACACTGCGGATGGGGTGTCTTCTTACTTGATGAATACAAAGGGAAATTTGGAGCTGTACAAGTTGACCTAAAATGTAGTAACAACCTGAGCTCTTAAGAAGTGTGTGAAAGCATTTATAGTCACTTCTTCTGCAAATTAGCGACTGCTTAACACATCTTTTTATAACGTCTTCATTTCTACCTGTAAGGGTCATTAAAGCATTTATTCACTTGTTCTTTGGGCGACTGTCTGATGCACATCATAAGAGGCAGCAGTGCAGCTCAGTAGGTCTGATTATTGCCACCTGACAGGCACCAACTGTATCTATTATCCAGGCTCATACCTCACTGAATCCCATCCAGCTGTGCTTGTACGTATGTGTGTGTGAGAAGATGTCAGCATTGCAGAGCATCACCAGAATACTGAAAGGCTAAGCACCATGACTCATATGACTCTCAGGACCTTGAACGCAGCGGAGGGATGCTGACTCGCAGGAAAAACGATATCAAACGCTGTTATTGAGGAACTGCAAATTCGAAAGACCGACTGATTTGCTGATTTTATCCCCCCCACACACACACACCTCCCCTGAGCTACTCCTTTTTGGGTCTGTCTGTCACTTCTTTCTGCTTTTTCCATGTCTCAACGTCATAATGTCTCTGCTTCTCAGTGACGACAACTTCTCTGACAGCCTGAGTCAGAAGGCTGACAGCGAGGCCAGCAGTGGCCATGCAGGAGAAGATAAATGTTCAGGAAAGGACATCAGCTCACCCACCGATACCAGGATCTCTGAGGCCTACATCGCCAGGTACGCTGTTGGGGTAGATTTTAAACGTTTGCCACAATTAAAAACCACATCAGTGCAAATTGTAAAATCAACCAAATTTTCTTCAGAGGTAGTATATCACCTACAGTTTTCCGTGACTTATGTTCTGTGTATGGTAACGGCAAATATGTTTGAGTCTTATGTGAAAATGCTGCATGGATTTCAGAAAACATTTGCTACTACCACCAAAGGTGATTCCCAGACTGACAGATTTTAATCCCAGTCCTACCAGTTAGATTCAAGGTGAGGTGAAGACTCTAGCAACACTTGAAACAAGTTTATTTGGTCTGCAAATGGGCGTTATTAGCAGACCAACACGTTTTGGCTTGTTGCCTTAATCGAGATCGTTACAAATCACCCAACAGTTTGTCTTTTATTTAGTCGTACCAGACACTTTCTTCACCTCTGGTAGCATCTTCATCCCTACACTAGAGGGAAGAATTAAGAAAAAATAATCCAATCACTTAGGAGACAGAAACCAAGAAGCAGTTCTGCGATACAAGCAAAATATGACATTTACCCTCTTAGCAAGTGTTCAATATGCACACCAACCAATGTGGAATAATTTGAACAGTGACTTGTACAGATTAGTTACATTTCATTGTCATCCTCAGTTTGCTCCAGCTTTTGCTTCCGCATCTTCATTGGGTCATGGAGTCAGACGTGTAAACCTGAACAGCTTGCAGATCAGATGCAGCTAAAAGGCTTTAGCGTCTTAGCTGAAATGTGTCAAAAGTCGCTCATTTGCTTTAGTTTATTAATGCAAGCTAATCGACTTGATTCTTGTGCCTCTTGTGATCTCATCAACTTAAATACACGCAAAGCAGATTAAGTATATATTTTTATTTTATTCAGTTTCAAAATTCATTGTGTATTTTGTAAAATCCTTCAGTGAGAATCCATGCTTCATTAGTCAGCTGTGATCTTTATTGTCAGCGTACAGTTGGTAAAAATATGGCAGAAAAATATCTTTAAAGTATAACGCTGCTTACTGGGCCCACAGTTTCACACATAAGTGTGACTAAAATTTGTAATTAAAAATAAAAAAAGATACACCAACCAAGAGTCTGTCAACAAATGTTTATATCTTATTGGATTAGAAAGTGTTGGCGAGAATGCACCTGATCCTCCTTGTGTCATTGCTTATCCACATCTGACCTCCCTAAGCCTAATCACAGTGAACTCAACTTGACCCATGGCTTTTTTCCTAACCAACCCTGTCCAGACGGTTCCTCTTAGATTGCAGGAGTAATTGCAAATCATTTCATTCATTCACCCGGAGGAATCTCCCCCAAAAGTGAAAATGACACGCGTACATATCCAATCACACCTCAAGTCTCTTTTTGGCTGTGTTTCGTGGTCGGTTGCCAGCATTTAGTCTTCCTTTCTCTCCCCCCCCTCGTTTGGTGCGTATCTGCGGCTGGATTCAGTGACCTTGAAGTGTCTGACTAGTTCCTGCTTTTTCCGAATACATGAACAACTGCTATTTTATTCTCAGCTGTACTCACTCCCTCTTCCTCACTGTTGAAATGTTGATGATTCATGCTGCCAATATTTGCAGCCCTGCAGCTGCTGGTGTGCAGTTAAAGGATATAACGGAATAAGTCATCCTTTTAGCTTCAGTGTTCCTGTCTATGGTCTCGTCTGCAACACCCTTCCTGTCACTTTGGTGATAGCCATATCTTTCCATTCCTCTTGTCACCCCCCTTCCTCGCTTTCCAGTAAGTCCTTAAATTTTGAATTCATTTAGAGAATTTCCTTTCCCAACAGCTCACCTCTCTGATGGACCTCTCAAAGGTCCTATTGATGGAGAAGAGGTCAAAATTATGTGACCAGAGCGATCTGTCAGTTTATCGATTTGATGAAAGACTTGTAGATTGTTTTGTGATCTTAATCTCTTTACTACCAAAAGCAACAATGGGCAGTATGTGAGCTGTCAGTTTGAAGACAGCTTGTAAAATAAGTGTACACTTTGTCCCAGTAGAAGACTATTTATATGAATGTCCACTGCTCCACCTGCTGTTTCTGACTTGTTCCTACACTTGTTTACTCTAAAAAGAATCCTTACTGCAGTCAGAAAAAAGATGGGCCACGAAAGCCATATTAATTTGGCACTTTTAATGGTTTATTTAAACAGTTTTTTATAACACTGATTGTCTTCAATAATGATTGGACGCGGTGGTTTTGATTTATTGCAAATGTTATTTCATTAAAGCACCGATTTTGTATAATTGCAAGTTGCAGGGGAAAAAAAGATGCTCTTTGTTGCAATAAACATTCAGAGAAATTCTTGATGGATTTTACCTTCTTATTTGAAATGGGAGGGGTAATTTTAATTGGTTCTTTTTTGGCATGAATCCTGCTTTTAAGCATAGTCCATACATTTCCAAAAGGTTTGACATCAGGGACATTTCAGAAGCTTTAAGCTCCTTTATCCACTCCAGAACCCTTTTTCTGATTTTTGTTCTGTTGAAACACCCAACTACGTCCATTTCACTGAAATGCTCCCCTGGAGATGACGGTAAATCGGTTATAACAACCCAGAATCCACTAAAGGCTAAAATCTAGCATGGACTGCAAACTGCTGGTTTGTCAGTATCACTGTTCACTGTGGAAGCCAGTTTAGGATCAACAGGGCAATAGCGAGCACTGACAAAGAAAGAAGTTCATGCTCCAAAATTGACACTTCATAGCCTGACTGAAATTTCCAGATACCAACTGAGAGAAGCCAAAAGCTTTCTGGCGAAATGATTAGTCGAGAACAGATGGAGCTATCTGGCAATAATGGGAAGGAGTATGTTAGGAAGAGTCAGAGGGAAACTTTCAAGCCTAAGTAGAATCTAGCAGCTATAAATCATGTCAGTATGCGCAGGGTTTGTACAGGTGTTTTGTTTCTGAAATGGCCTTGACCTCAACCTTGTTGTAAATGTGTGGACTATGTTAAAAGCAGCATGTATGCCAAGACACCAAGCAAATTAATATGACTACCATATTTTAGATCAGAAGCTTTTTGGTAAAGTGTGGGTTCTCTGCACAGTTTGCAGAGGGACATTTTTTTTTTTTTTTTTCAAATGTTAGCTGGGGTATGCAGCCTTTTTGTTTTGGAGGGGATCCACACAGGTTTTATTTGAACCCTAAAAAAAAAAAGAAGTGTTTCAAATAAATTATAAAAATCTCAAAATTAAGTGGAAATACATTCTGATATATCTACAAACTACATCTCTTCTTGATTTGACATAAGACTTCTCAAATCATGTCTATAAATTATGCAATTTTGCAAACCTATTGCCAAACTTTTGCTTTCCAGAGTTCAAATCGTCCTTCTCAAAACCCTGGTGTCCTTTACTTCCATCCTTATTATTGCTTCTTGTGTAGCAGAGTTGATAGGTATTTTTCTTGAACCTTCATAAAAGAACCACAGACAACGTATATGAATTTTATGGCCAAGCTTTTGCAAAAGGAGAAAACTCAGCAAACTGCTCCTCCAAGCCGTTCACTGAGCGTTCTAAAGACCCTTGGTTACAGCTCGTCTTTTATTATCAAGCAAAAAGAGGGAGGATAGGGAAGAAAGACGGCAGAGACAAAATATTACTGCACACAGGCAGTTTCTAAGGTAGGGAGTATTCCGGTTGATAAGGAGGCACCTGTGGAAACATAATTTAAGGTCTGGGAAATACACATTTAACTTTCACATGAAGACAAACAAGCAGACGGGGCGTCCAGGTCAGTTTATACACACAGAAGGAAGAGAACACTTTAATAATCTATAGACTGAATGTTGATTAACTATTGATTAACATCAGACTGAATATGAACTAAAGTAATAAAATGATAATACCAAAAAATCTCTAACAAGAGTGATGAAGCTGCTTCTAAATCCTAATGATTATGGCTCAGACAGCGCTCGTTAGGCAGATGTAAACCCTCAAATTGAAGCTATTTGTCTTGGAGAAGTGATTAGCGGCTGAGTAATTCACCTCTTGTTCATCACGGGGGACAAATTAAAATTATTGATCCTACATACGCCAGTTTCCAGATATCATTGATCTAATATTTTCATTCGTGGCCTTTTCAGGGAATACAGTACTAACTGCTAAAGTCTGTATGATAATATTAACAGTTTTAAAATAGGAACGTAGTTTCAGTTTTTAATGTCTCCTGCGGTTGCATCAAATTAAACATAACGGCTACTACTGAATATTTCTCTGTTACAGGTTGTTAAAAAAATGGCGAGCCAACTTCAACACTCGGTTGAATGTGTTGCAATTTCTGCCTTTTATGAGGCATTTCAAACGTCTCCAGGGAGAAGATGTAAAATTGTTGCCACCTCATACATTGTAGCGGGAGTGAAAAGGAACATGCCCAGCTTTCTGTATTACAAATACAAGCCTGTTGGAATAAGTGTTGTTTTGAGTAAGCTGGTCCAGGTTCAGACAGAGGACAGACGTACTGCTTCAGCAGCTGCAGCTTCTTCCACGGAGCGTGTCTTAGTGCTCTGATGAGCCCCAGACGTCGCTCCTCTGGCTAACATCCAGACCCGCTCTGCCCCCTTGGTGAAACAACTTTAATAGAGAACAGAGGGGAGTACTACAAAGTGAGATTAATGGGTCAGAGAGATTCCCTAAACCTTAAGCAAAACATTTAAATGTTTCAAGGCGAGGTCACTGGATGAAGTAACAGAGGGGATGAATTTAAAGTTTTTATTTTGACAATGTCACATTTAATGTCAAACAAAACGCCACAATTAAACATGTCGATTTGTTTCCTTTCCGTCTCACGCTTCTACCCACGTAGGCATAGAAAAAGGTCGGACCCACCAACTCGCCGGCCCCCGGCCCGCCCCAGCAACGTCCACTGCATGCTGCATTCGTCCCAGCAGGGCCACGGAGGGACCCCGGAGATGGGCTCCCCGGTTCTGGGCCACTTCAGCCCCCGGGACATGCTGAGAAGCCACAACCACATGCCGATGGACAGCCCAGAGCGGCGGCGGCGCACCGGCCACGGCAGCCTGACCAACATCAGCCGCCACGAGTCCCTGAAGAAGATGGAGAGCCCGCCGATCCGTCGTTCCACCTCTTCAGGCCAGTACACGGGCTTTACTGACAGCCATCACCACCACAGCGGCAAGCCCCTGGACCCGGAGACCATCGCACAGGTCAGCGCGGGACGAGCGGCGACCAGACCGCAGCTCCCTCCACCATCAAAGCCCTGCCCCGCCCTGTAAAAACATAGTCAGTCCCTGTCTTCTGCTTCCTCTGGCTGCTTCTGTGTCTGTGTGCTATGAACACGCAAACTATTAGCTTCACAGGCAGACAGCAGGGGGCACAGCTTGGCATCGGGACTCCTTCGGTAGAAGTTTGTGTCGCAATAATGAAAATCATCACAATCGCTTAGAATATCCATTTCAACTCAGTAGTTGAGTTGTTCAGTTTGTGTATTTGACTATATTCATAAGTATGAATATAGCGGCAGATATATTAAAGTTCAGAGACCATTCCTGAGGTCACAAAGAGCTTTTGTGATTGTGCTAGGCTGTCTGCCTGCCTACTGTGAAAATGCTCAGATGATTCTTTCATCATCTCTGCATCTCTTTCCTTGTAGAAAGTCAGCATGCATGATATTTCCTCTAGCTCTATGCATGCATAGTAGAAAACGTTCACTGTGTTCTCATTATTTCTTTAGAAACTTTTCCTTTTCAGCTGTGTTAACACTTGTAGCTTACAATAGTTAAATCCATTCCCATGTACAATATTGAAAAAAAAAATGAAAAGCTAAAAGAAAATACATGAGCCTAAAGCAGGAGAAAGTCAGGAGAACTGGCTAGCAGTAGCTTGGAGGTCTAATAAACTAGCACCTTCCCCATGGATTCCACTAAAATATTATGACTTCTAGTGGAAAGTCATAATCTAATTTACCATATTTTCAAGATGTTTAGGTTTTCTTGCTCTAACATTTGGTAAGATTCGGCCTTCAAAATACATTTTTGTTCATATGCATGCAGTTGTCTTGATCATATTTTGCCTATGAACACTGTAACTTTCTCCTTTGTAAGTTAGAATGATCCTACAGATAGCTTTTAGGTTTTGATGTATAGACTCTGTTTCTCTTCTGGTTCTCTCCAAAGTCCTCACCTCTCTTCCACTCTTTGTGCTTTGCAGGACATAGAGGAAACGATGAACACTGCCCTTAACGAGCTGCGCGAGCTGGAGCGGCAGAGCTCAGCTAAGCACGCCCCTGACGTTGTGCTGGACACCCTGGAGCAGCGGCAGACCGCCGGCAGCGGCGGCGGTGGCCCCACTATGGCAAGTTCAAACGAGTCCCTGAGCCCTATCCACGGCGTCATGCTGAGGTCGACGGCGAACACCGAGCCACCAATCCGCCGCAGCACCAGCTCCTCCAGCGAGGCCATGAGCACCTTCAAGCCCATGGTGGCGCCACGCATGGGGGTGCAGCTGAAACCTCCTGCTCTGAGGCCCAAACCTATGGTCATGCCTAAGTCCAATCAGGCCCCGCAGCCCCCTGCTGGGGCTGCTCAGGACCCTCTAGATAAATCCTGTACCATGTAAGCTCTGGGAAAAAATAAACAACAACAACAAAAAAAAGAACAAGAGATGGAAAGCAAAACTCTCAGCCCATTCCTGGGAGTCTCTGTCTGAACTTCCACCTGTGTCGTCAATGCACGGAAAAGAAGAGGACGAGATCCAAGAGATCTTTGTAACCTTTCCAATTATAAGATGTAGTTGCAATGTAGACTTGTTATCCGAGCAAATCGTTTGCGTCAGCAACATGCGGTTTTATTTTAATATGCTTAGGTTACCAACTACCTTACAGTATAAGGTTTTTAAAAACGAATTTGAACAACAAATCACAACATCTTCCTTGAGATTTTAGATTTAGTTTCGTTTACAAGTGATAAAGAACTAAAGCAAGTTACTTGTAGAGAAGCCTGAAGAGAGAACTGCAGTGACCACAGCGGCTAAAACGAGAGGATTATTTCTGGGAGTGCCCTTGAAGCCGTGAATCCCACCAACGTTCTTACAGACTTAACTGGAAATGTAACTGATTTTAACATTCTGATGTTAAAATGTGCTGGACAATAAACTGCTTAAAAGGTTGCCAATCCTGTGGCTCCGCAACTTATTTATTAACGGTACTCTGTTAATAAATGAAAAGTACTGAAGCTTGTACCCTTCCTTTCGGTAGCATGTAAACCGCAGCTTTTTTTCATTTTATTTTCTGCAAGGTGTATGATCAGTCGTCTTACGCGGAGGTGTAGATTACGCCTCTTTTCTGGGCTCACTCAGATTGATGAAATTTTGTTGTATCAAAACAAGAAGAAAGGTGGAAGAACTGGATAAAACCACTACTTTGTTGTGAACCTGTGTGCTTCGATTTCTGCGTCTATACCTAAAACTGTAAGTATGCCTTTGTTTATGTGTCAGCCATGAGTGTGAACGATGACTTCAGACAGTGCGGACCACATGTCATAGCCTTCTGTATGCCTTGGCTTTATCTACCCAAAGACTTGTGTATAGGTGAAAGCATGGATGTTGAACCTCCACATTCACTGATGCGTTTAGACTTAAGGCAGCATCTTTGCCCGAGTTTCTGCCGGTAGCCATGGACCTTATGACTGTTAGTGTGAAAGCCTCGTCATACAGCCGCCCTCCTCGTCCTGCTTCTGTCTGTGAGGGAGGCTAACAGTTTGAGCCTTACAGTCTGTTCTGTTCAGGTGAGCATGTTGCCTATTGTTTTTTTTTTTTGTTGTTGTTGTTGTTGTTGTGGCTACTTCTCTTGGACTGGTATTATTACTTCTGTGCGGATTTATGATTTCAACTAAATGACATGGGGAAAAAAAACTAAAAGACTGCACATTGCCCTGCTCCGGAACAATAATTTCAAGATGGAAATTTGTTTGTGCCAGACTCTGTAATATAGAAACAATCGCTGGATCCACGTCATTTGTATATTATTATACATGGATCTGGTTTGCAAGAATAGGAAATGCTCTCTAATAGCAAGTTTACACCATCTTTGACTTGACTAAAAAAAACGTGTGAATGGATCAAAAGTTAATTTCTGAATTAATAATTTCATTATTTTTATAATCGTTTGTGATTTCTGTTTGATTTTGGAGGGTTAAAATCACTCTGAGCCCATGTTGCAGAAGACGTTGGCATCAGTATGAAGCCAGTTGTCGGTGTTTTTTTTTTTTTTTTTTCTGGTCACAATGTAACATGATCAGCAGCAGGACTCCGTTAAGCTGTCTGTGAACTTTAAACTAGTTTGTTCTGTACATCAGTAGTATGTACTTGTGAAAAGTGCCTTTGAAAATGTTTAAGTGGAACTTCAGACATTCTGTCCTGTTGCGTTTTCAACTTAGATGCTGTGGTTTTCAGTAAAATGCAGTGTAGCAAGTAGAAATGCATTAAGACTTAGTTTCCCAAACGGCTCTATGGCAGATATAATATTAACCGGCTTACACATTGTGACATTGCACTTTTATGTATATACCTGTAAATATGGCATGTAACATCACAACATCTAAAGTTCTTTCAATGGAGGATTTTTTTTTTTAATAAAGAAAATAGTTTGTCGAATCTGAGGTGGATTTTTCTTTATTTACTTTTATTTTAAAGAGTTTCAGTGCATTTACAGGACATCGCTTAGGGAGTTTTTGCACAGGTGAGACACAAACATCAAGACGTACAAAAATAAAAGGTGTTTGTCACACATGGTTTTAATTCAATAAAGATATCTGCCAAGATTTAACAAAACATTTGTTAAATGTGATGGTACATTTAGCAAAACTTGCAGGCATCACATCACCCTGCAGACACTCGCGCCATCGTTTCCAGAAGCCTGAATAATTTCTTCTATCCCTTAAGAGTTACTACAGCGAAAGCTTTTATATATTTTTTTAAATAAAGTAGATAATGTGAATGTATCCATGTACTCCTCAGTGAAATTGGAAAGGTGGGATAGACCACATGAGATAAACATTTGGCTTCCAATTGACAATCTCGAAAATTTGAACAAAATTCTAAATATAAATTGTACACTTATTTTTTTTTTTTCATGACTGTTCCTTTATGGAAGACTACATTTAAATTTAAAAGAAAAGACACAAAAAGTTACATATTAATACTTACGCTGTTTTTAAGCTACTTATCCTGTCGGGTGAGATTAGCTTTGAAAAAGTATCGTTTTTGTGATTTCTACTGTACATTTACTTCATTGCTATCTAGAAAATCATTTGTCTAAAGTACAGTCTTCTGCTATATGTGGGAGCTTTACTGACATCCGAGGGTTGCCATACCGACTTCCAGCCTCAGCGCTGTTTGAAGGAGTGAGAGTGCCTCTCTGTCTTCTCCATTCTCTACTGTGAGTCTTCAAGGCCATCTAGTAAAAACAAAGACTGTGTTGTGTTGGATACAATAACACAGCAGTTCCCTCCACCCAACCAGCCAGACATGTTTGTGTACTGAAATTAAAATTTTGATTATATTGATTACACGTGGGACAAATCCAGCAGATCATTACTGGGAGTCACGATAAAGCGCCGGGTAGGGCTAAAATATATATTTACCTCAGCAATCCCAACATGTCTCTTCCAATGGTGAATGCTTTGTAGCAGCTTCTTGTGTTTTTCCTTGGCGAAAAAATACTCTGTGATATCAGGAACGTGATAATCTGTAAGCTCTTTGCACAGGAATTGGTTGAGCCCCTCTGCCTTTAAACTCTCCTAAAGGAAGAAAAAAAAAAGTCAAAAAGTATATATTTTTTATACTAATTAACAAAAGAATGGATTTTGTTTAATTTCAAAAGAATCTCAAATTTATCAGAAACAAGTTTGTAAAATTATCAGTAGTTGAAAGCATTTCTTTTTCAACTTCAACTGCTACAAAAATACTTCACTTCATAGTTGCTAGGTTTTACAGTCATATTCTTTAATTTAAATATTATTGAAAAGTTCAAATATTTCAGTAACTCAATTTACTAACTTAATTATGTTATATAGATTAATTAAAATTACATTTTGAGCTTAATGAAAAACATGTCTAATACTTATTCAAGGACTGTTCTTTTGTTTTTTCAAAAGGTACTTTTAGTTTAACAAACGAATCTTATCCAAATGCATAAGCCAGTTTATTGAATATGGCTTCAAGATTTCACTTCTTCAAGTTTGATTATTTTTAACAACCTTCTTCGCACGTTTTATCTCATTCTCAAGTTTTGCAAGAATTTCCTTTCTTTTAGTGATGTCATTGCTCAGCTCTGTGGACTCCAGTGTTAAACTCTGCAGCTTCTCCTGTCCTCAAAAACACAAACAGATGCAGATTTGACAATAAAGGCAAACTTTACTGTTAAAATGTTCTGTTTTACACATAAAGCAAATGGCATCTTTTCACATAAAGTTACCTTGTGTGAACTGAGGAGACGCTGAACCTTAGAACTGTTGTGTTTAAGTTCATTTAGTTTTTTGTCCATTCGGGGTTCATCGTACTCCTGGAAAAATATCTATTGGACAGAAACGCCTAAATTATTTTCCAACAAGCAAAAGTTAGGCAATGATTTAATCAGCTGCTTCTTAAATCTTTTGATGCATAACATGTTCAGAGTTTCTTTACATTTCTCATGTAAATATTTCAGCTTTTTCCAGAATCAAGTTACCAGTTACTTTCGTTCATTTTAAAGTATAAGATTCATGGAAGGGAGGGATGGAAGGGCATCACAAAGAACAGAAAGAAAAAAGGAAGGAAAAACAGGGAGAAAGATAATCACTAGAACAAGCACAGAAGGACAAAACAAAGAAAAGGAGGGATAGACACAGGGAAAGTATGATGCATAGAAAGAAGGTAAGAGCTAAAGAACAACCTTTATTCGAGGGATTCAAGTCTTGGGACATAATTACAACCTTTTCCACTTCTGTTTTAATAAACTCACTTCTTCCTCTACTTCAAATTCTGCTTTTCTCGTCTCTTTTTTCTGTTGGAGCTGCTGCAGGAGCTTCATCACTTGGACTCTCAATGCCTTATTCTTCTGGTGAAACTTTTCCAGCTGGGTGACCTGTTATAATTCATTTTAGTAGTTACAAGAACATGATTAATGAAGCAGGATAGGGATAGATATTTGAGAAAATAAGGATAAAAAAAAATTTAATGAAAGGGAATGTTATATTATTAGTAATGGTAATATTCCTGACATTTGTCACATAGAGAGAAAGGTGCACAAATAGTACAAAAGTCAGTTTGTATTGCTTTTATCCAGATCTTATAACGTGATTTTGTTAAGATTATAAATGCAGAAATATGTGAATAAGTGGTGGAAATTGCTTGCTAGAAGGAGCATCTGTTTTTGGAAAAAAATACAAGTATGAGAACACAGAAACTGTTCAAATAATTTTCTTGCATGTGCAGGTATTATCTGACTGAAGCCCAATTTTACCTTTGATTTGTCTTCGATGTGCTGGAGAACTTTCTCTAGCTCCTTTACTTCCAGAAAACTGCCTTTCATAGGTTTTAAGAATCTGCGTTCAAAATCTTTTTTGGCTTTCTTGATCTCAGTTGAACGCAAGTCGGTTTCTTTTATAAAAGACTGGAAAACAAAGCAGAACCTCTGAACAAATGTCTCTCACGTATGTTTGTTTGTGTTTGAAAAAGCTTGTTGTAACCTTGTAGTTGTCCAGAATTCTCTCGTAGTTCGCTTTGAGTCTTTCCTGATCTGCCTGTGTCTCAGTTGCTTCTCTCTGTGCCACATAAAGTTTTTGCTCCAAGGTCAGCAGCTGGAGAGGCTCTGATAAGTTGTACTGAGGCCTCTGCCTCCTCTCAGCTCCCTGAGGAGACACACAAAAACATAAAAAGTCTAATGCGACAACATAATTAGATTTTGGAGGTATTTCACCAAACCAAGCAGGTTACTGCAACACTATCCAAAGTCTTAAATCATATTTTTATATTTAAATAACTCAGGGATTATACTATTGTACACATATACTTCCTGGGAATAGTGCAGTTTGCTACTCATACTCCAAAAACAGTATCTTTTCAAATTTTAGCGATAATCGCACAGATTTAGTTACAGCAAATACCTAACTACTTATCTACTCTGTAATATTACCATGTAAAAAAATTAAGCCGTACAATCAAACAGTCTAGTATTCTCTAGGTCACCGATAAGCCCAAATAGCATGAGCCCTTCAAGCAGAAGAGATTGTGATGTTTGACTCTAACTGCTTATTTGTGTTTGGTTTGTCAGACACAAAACTGGTAAAGTGAGGACCTCTGTGGATCTTTCTGCTGAACTTTATCCCATGGTTTAATGTTCTACTTGTGGAGACCAGTACTGTATTAATGGTTTATGTTTCCATAATGTATTTGCTTTTTTCTGTATGGAAAGCATGGGTTTTCTTACCCCACCATCCACGTTGGAGCCTTGTGTTAATTGCAGACCTTCTCCCCCAGTTTTGGACTCCAAGTGCTGAGGATCCAGACGACCAATGAAGTGTTCAAACATGTCATTTTCTGCCAGGAGGGCTACATTAGAACCCCTATGACAAAGAAGGAATTGTCTTTATTTTAATTATACATCGGATATCCAAGGTAGCTTTCTGTTGATAATATAAACACAAACAAAATTAATAAACAAATCTGCTTATCTTGTGACTTAGAAGCTATAGCAAAGAAGAATAGCAGGACTTTACTTTTTAACCAGTAAAGTTATAAAGTAAAGTCCTGTATGTGTATATAAAAAAGTATTAATATATCTTTGTCATAAGTGTGCAATGTGATGAAAGTTGCATTAACACTGAAGTCACCTCTCTAAAGTAAAAGCTGTAACTGTATCGGCAAGTAGGTAAGTTACACTTTTGTAAAAGCGTTAAAAGTATATAGAGAAGTGATTACCGTTTTTTAAGCAAGTATTTAATTTATCTACTTAGATATTTTTACTATAAGATAAACATAAAAAACCCTGCTATCTAAGAATTAGCAGTCAACAGGTTTAAGACAAATCTGGTACGTCAAACACGCAAACTGTAACTGATTTCCTCTAAATATTTTATATTTTTACCTCAGTTCTTTAACTTGGTTGTGAAGAAGTTCTTTCTGTTTATTTACTGAATATTGTTCTTTTACTTCCATCAAGAGCTCTTACTGCTGGGTTGCTAGGAACGGAAGTATTTAAACAGTGGTTGCCATGGTTCGCATTGCTTTACGTACTGACGTAATGACGTAAAGATCCTATTTAAAGATTCATGTTTTGAGTTTGGGCTCGACTTTCAGATGTTTAATTGATAAGTAAATAAAGCTAATTTTGTTTCTGACTCTCACACCAGACTATCTGCATCTTAAAAGGAACTAAAAAGAACATAATTGTTCAGTTTTGGGAACGCGTCAGTCCTGCTTTTTATTTTTTTTTTGTCAACAGAGTTTCGATTTAAGTTTCGGTTTTCAGTTCTATATAAATGGGCCTGTGCGTGTTGTTGCCTCAAGTCAGCTGTAGACTGTTTTCTTGAGTGATTATTTGATGCATCTTCTTTCGGGATGGCATCGACTAGTAATTCAAAATTAGTTTTCAAGATTCTGTGCGATAATGACGGTTGTTTAGAGGTAAGGCAGCTGAATGCGAAGCTCGCACAAAACAGCTTTGGAGTTAAACTAGCGAACCTGCGTTCCGTTCTTTTCGACGACGGTAAGATTGCGATTCGGGAGGGTAAACAGCGGGTTCCTGACGGTAACATCAGGCCTGACAGTCTGATTGTTGCTAAAACCAGTTTGAGGCTTTGCCAGAGAAAAGCTGGGGAATGCGGACTGTGTGATAGTTTACACTTGTGCAGGTATTTTGTCTGCGGAGGCTGCACCTTCGGGTAAGTTTCTTCTATATATGTCAACTGCTTTTAGTATAATGCTTGTAGCATCTCTCATAAGTTATTTAAGGTCATACATTAGATGCGGCTTAAACTCAGTTCGAAGATCTTTTACTTGTATTGGATTAGAGGCACTGAAACAGTGGAGCCTTAAAGAAAATCATAATAAACTTAGTGGGAAATTTAAGTTTGTGAAAAATAATAATAAAAAAAACATACAGTTAAATGTTTTATTATTATGTCAATACAATGAATCGTTTTAAAAGATATCCTGTACAATTACGAAAACATTTAAGCTGTCGGATTTAGTTGCATAATCAGATGTGCAAGTTAGCCAATCTGGACCAATGGCATTGTCCTTGGGAGTTTCAACCCATATCAATCGACTTTGACAGGTCAAATGAGTTCAGTGTGTCGCAGATCTCCAATGAAAGAAAATGTATATAGAATTTCTGAAGTTGATTTTCAACTTTAATCATTTAACTTCCTTTTTATTTCATCCAGACGTTGGGAGCATTTAACATTATTCAATCACTAGAGAAAAAAACCCCCAAAAGATTATTTTACATTAGAAAACTACTTGAAAAATTATTTTTCTTTCAATAATTCAGTAAAAAGCATCTTAACTCATCAATTACATCGACTCATTACAGATGGAGTAATTTATTTAGTGCTTGTTTCTGTTAATGCTGAAAATGAATAACAGTTTATCATAGATACTGAAGATAGACAAATAGACAGACAGGCTTCGGTTAAAAAAACAGAATGTGTTTTGATTAATTAAATTAATTAATTAGATGAATTTGTTAATTCAATACAACGTCTTTAACTGGAAGGCATTTTATTGTTTTAGACCCAAGTGTAAAAATCCGCACAGTTTGGCTTCTCCACACAACGCTGATCTTTTGCAAAGGTTTGGTCTCCAGGACTTGACAGAGAAACAACTTTTCCAGCTTTTACTGCAGAATGATCCTTTTCTTCTTCCTGAGGTAGGCATTGCTGACTAAAATCATAATTAAAACATTATGCTATCACATTATGCTTGACACATTTAAATATTGTCCTCTTCAATGACTCTCTAAAGGTCTGTCCACATTACAACAAGGGTGATGGTCCATTTGGCTCCTGCAGATTCACCACCTCCTGCACGAAGCTCCATGTCTGCCTGCATTTCCTCCAGGGTGACTGTAGGTATGGCTCAAGATGCAAGAGAAGCCATTCCGTTGAACGAGGAATGAAGCTTTTCAAAGGATTCAGTCAGGAGAATATGCAAAACCTTTACAAGATTTACAGGAATAAATTCATCATCACTGGACAATGTGGACAGCACGAGACTCCAGCTGCTGCTGCTGGTCCAGGTAGGTCTCTTTAATGAAATTATGAGTTTTGAGATAATTTTTCTCTTGATAATTTCTCTCCTTTTTTTTTTTACTTGAGTATTATATGACATGTATATATGCATCTCCTGCAGTGCTTCCAGTGGTGACATTCAGTCATCAGCTGTCTTCCCATCAGCCTCACCAAATGAGTCCTAGAAGTCCCACCAACTCTGTCAGTCCTTTAAAACCTAACAGTGAAGGTGAAAGGAATGAGATCTGCCTCTATAATATTCGCAAAAGCTGCAGCTTCAAAGGTACCTGCTGCTGGTTGAGCTGACCCGTCACTCCTGACGTAAATTTAATCCCTATGTAATGTTCTAAGTTGAGTTTTCTATTGCAGAGAAATGCGTGCGTGTCCACTGGAACCTACCGTACAAATGGGAGGTGTTACACAGAGACGGTGTTACTTGGAAGGACTTGCCTTTAATGGAAGAAATTGAAAAGGCATACTCTGACCCAACATGCAACACTAGCAGGGATCCACTGATGCCTACATTGGGAATTCTCTCGAGTCTGAAACTTGGGTAAAGAGAGACACAAATGTTCAGTATTCAGATTGCAGATGTTTAGTGTTCTGTGATGCATACAGAGTCTAGCAAAAGTATTTAACCCCCTGCCCCCCCCCTAAAAAAAACTTTAAAGTATTTCATCTAATAGATCAACACAAAATGGTGCATAATGGTAAGCTAAATTAAAAATAATGCATGAATTTCCAATCTAGCAAATTGAGCATGATATTTCAGCCTATTTTACTCTGCTGCACCCAAGTTAAATCCAGTGTGACCAGTTAACTTCAGAGAGAATAAAGTCACCTAATTGGTAAATTAAGTTCAATTTAATAAATTAAATTGTTCAGAGAAGCTCTTGGAGCTTTCCTCTGTCTTTATACTTTTTGTATAAAGACAGAGGAACACAGATTAGGGAAAAACTTGTGAATAAGTTTAAGGAAGAGTTAGGTTGTAAATGCTATCACAAGTCTTTAGAAACTCAGTGAGCAACACAATTCGCTTCATCATCCAAAGCTAGAAAGTCTATTTCTCAACTGATTGACTTGGCAAGGAGATAATTGATCACAGAAGCAGCCAAGATGGCCATGGTAACGCTGGAGGAGCTGCAAAATACACAAATCAGGTGGGAGAATGAGCTGGAAGGACAGTTACGTGGCAGTTTTCTGTTGATGAAAGCAATATATATAACTTTACGGCCTTCATATAAAATTATAGGTGTTGTGAAAAAAGTAACTCTACAGATCATTGTGAACACATCATCCTCACATGCTTGAGCATAGTGGGAGTAGCATCATGGATAAAATGATGGACAAAATACAGACAGCTTTAAAGGGATTTAAATATGCTATATATGAAGACATGCTGATAGCAGTGATACGGGGAATCTACTTTCCTTTCAGATCTGCATCTAACATTAAGCAGCATGTTGACTTTAACACGATGACCTACGAAGGGTCTCCAGTTCGTCGCCTGTCCACAACTTCTTCTGTCCTACATCCGCCACACTTCATTCTCACAACTCAGTGGATTTGGTACTGGAAGGAAGACAATGGTTTATGGATCGAGTATGGACAGGTGATTGGAATATAACTGTAGTTAAACTACGTATTACTGTTATGATTAATGGACGACTTTACAAAATAGAAACTCTCGTTTTTTCTACTTGCATGCATTTATAAATAATTTCTTTTAAAATCTTTCACTTTCAGTTAATTCATCCAACAGTAAAATGACAGTGACCGGTCATTTTACTGTTAACTTAAGCTAACCTGAAAATGTACAAGCCCCTCTATGACAGACTGAAATAGCATACCTGCTCTGTCAACCACTTTGAAAAAACATTTTTCATCCCGATGCATCTTTGTCCTTGTCCCTCGGAGAACAGAGCTTTCTGTTCTCCGCCTCTCCATCTGTAGGTCCATGTCATAAGATGACAATATGAGTTAAATGAAAGAATAAGATCGCGCCCCAGCGCGTTCTCAATTAGGAGTAAGTTTTCCATCATTGCTTTGGCGTCCCTTATAGCGCAACGCCTCAGTATGTTCCATATCGAGCACACCCACTTTTTGTGCCACTGATTACCAATCAAAAATTACTTTGTACCAGTTCAAGATGTTGATGTCTATTTGTATAGCAGCTGATTTGTAGTGGTCACTGATGTGGCATGAACATCACATTTCTATCATTTTTATTTTCAATAAATTCTACACTTTGATGTATTTTTATGTTTGTGTTGTTTTCAGGGTGGAGGAGACACCACAGTGACTTCTGACACTCTGGAGAAAATGTACCTGGCAGACAAGGATGCAGAGATCACTTTCCAGGCAGGCAAACATCAATACACCTTGCATTTCAAAGGTGCAAAAGGAAGCCAGACGATGTTTCAACAGAATTTAAAATATAAAACTAAGAGAGAGATCCGAAGGAGGCCTCGCTTTGTGTCACCTCAGGACGTTAATGACATCAAGAGGTATTGTGTTCATATGTCACAAATTCCTGCTTACACAAATTACTTCTACTGTATGTAGATTTTTTTTTTTAAAAATCTTAATTTATTTGGATATTTCCTTTTTTATTGATCTTGTTTATAGTGGATCATCACACAGCTCCAGCTCCTCCACAGCTGAACATATTCCACCCCACTGGGACAAGAAAGCCCTTCCTGATTTGAGTTATAAGGTATATTTATTGTGTAGCCTGTATTTCACTCTGCTTGACGGATTTTGTTATTAAACACACAAGTACCCCTTGCCTTGCGTTTTTCTGTCATGTTTCAGCTCGTGCTCCTCTCCAGAATTGATCCAGATTATAAAATTGAGGAGGATTTCAGACGCACCATGCCTTGCAGTAGAATTGAAAGCATCCAAAGAATCCAGAACCCGTCTTTGTGGAAAGTCTTTCAATGGTGATACACGTTGAAAATTTGCCCTATCCAGTGATAAAGATGAAGCCTTTATCACGGCTTTTTTTTTGGTTGCTCGTCATAAAATCCATATTTTGTCATTTTTATCACTTAACTTCTGTGCTGCATAATAAGTCTTATGCTTTATTTCAGGCAGAAGGACCAGATGCAGAAGAGGAATGGAGGGAAACGTGTGGATGAGAAACTTTTGTTCCACGGCACAGAAGAGAGCCTGGTTGACGCCATTTGTGATCAAAACTTTGACTGGAGGATGTGTGGCGTCCACGGAACAGCCTATGGGAGAGGTATAGAAAATATATTCTGGTGATATAATGATCAAATCAGAGTTGGAAAAGTAACAATTAGAACAATTAGAAAAAGTATTGTAACATTTAACTACTATTTTCCTTTCTAGGGAGCTACTTTGCTAGAGATGCTTCCTACTCAGACAAATATTCCAGAACCCGAGGAAGTCTGAACAAGATCATGTTTGTTGCTCGAGTGCTGGTGGGTGAATACACAAAGGGAAGCAGCAGCTACGTTCGACCACCATCAAAAGCAGGAAGCAAAGCTCTTTATGACAGCTGTGTTGACTCTGAAAGAGACCCCAGCATATTTGTGATCTTTGAAAAACAGCAGATTTATCCAGAGTATCTAATCAAGTACAGATGAGATAAATGCTTTAATTCCCTTTTGTTAAAGGGAAATAAATCATTAAAAAAAGGGTCACTTTTTAGCTTGCTAAAGTCCAGTACACATAAGGGAACATTTTGCTGGGTTTCTTTGTTCTGTCCAAAGCATGCAGTCTGGCTTTCTTTGTGTATTTTGTACTTGCTGCTCAGTAGCTCTCTTTTTTTTTCATAACCTTGGGTGACTATATGTCCGTCGGGAGTCTGCCTAAGTAAATGAGTAAATAGTATTTTGTAAATATTAAGTAAATATTCATTTGTCAGGATATCACAAAAACACAATTTTGAATTTGTTGCTTCTTAGTACTGTAGGTGGCAGCAAGTATATGGGCATTGGACAGTCTTGTATTCTGTCTGTTCATAACCCAAGTCCCCTGAAAGTTGGGGTGCTGACATTTTCATGCAAACCAAAATGTATGGGGAAAAAAAACACACGTTTACTTGCTTTTACAAATATCATATTTCAGATTAACTGTAAGCCAAACTTATATTGAAGAGAAGGAGCTTAATTATTATCCACCATAACATGAATGGTTATTTAAAAAATGATTTCAAAAGCAGGTCATAAGGACTTCCTTTAAATTATAGAGTAAGCATCTATGTACTGATTTACAACAAAGTGTTTTAGAAAGTATAAATACAGAGAAATTGAAACCTGCATGCATCCTCTTGCAAAACCCTAATTATTTTTATTCCTGCCTAGTTAATCTCTGTAAACACCATTACAAACCTCTTGAGATATAAATGATTTTAATATCAAAATGAAATAAATGTTATGTTTAATCTTTTAAAGAAAAGCTGTTTAAAGTGTTAAAAGGATGGACTTATCCTATCCAAAGTGCTAATAAACTTTTTCCAAGTTGTCCTCTCACTTTCTTCAAATCAAATCTTTCAAAAGATTGAAAATACTGACCGACACCCGTGTTCTTTTGATCCCACTGAGAGATATTGTCAATTTCATCGCAAACAAAAGCATAAATGGAATCTGTTCCTTGGCTTCATAAAAATTAATTCAACTTTTTCAACATGGCTTCATGATGAACTGTTAGCAGACTCGCTTACGGTGTTAAATGTGACACACAAAACATATTTTGGCTTCATGTTGTTCCCATTTGTTTTTATTTTGCAACGGTCTATTAAGTTAGATATGTGACGTGACGTACAATAAACTAATGGGGAAATAAATAAATTATATCACTAGAATACAAAGAAGAAATTCATTATGTCAATATGAAATGAACATTTCAACATATGAACAATGTGTCTATGCCTAATTCTGTTTAGGCATAGACACTGCCTATATCTGTATAATCATTTCAGAAAATAAATATGAATTTTTGGACTCTGTAATAATCCTTCTGTCTGTATGCACTTGCTCTATCCACCCATCACATGAGTGCCTATGTGAGTAAATATGTAAATGAAAGCATATGTTCATGAATGTGTATGCAAATGCAAATCATATGTCATGATAAATTAAATCTGTAGTAAAAGAACCTTTGAGAATGTACTGGTGGAACATTATTTTGCCGAGGAAAGTTCTGTTTTAAATGTAGATTTCTGGCCTGCATGAGAACTTTGACAAACTGACCTGAAATAGTCATAAACTATGTCTGCTGCCTTACCTCTGCAGGCTGTAGCAGTCTGCCACAACTACA